CGCTACCAGCTTCCGTATATCCCGAGACGCTGGGGATAGGGCTGAGGCCCCGACGTTCGGGTTGATAGGGGACGTATTTGAGGGGTGGAGGTACGTCTTGGGTGCTGTAATAATCGTATGGGTTGGGTGGATATTGTGGGGACGGCTCCTCGTCCTCGTCGTCGTACTCTTCGTCCTGAAATTGCCGCGCATGGCGAGAAGGGACTTTCTTGCCATTGTCATCAAGAACATACTGGTCAGGATCACCAGTGCGTTGACGGGGTAACGCCTTGAGGTCTCCGTGCGAGAGGTTAGCGTGTTGGGCTCCCAGGGCTTGTAGAGTGTTGACAGGGGTCCTGGTGGGAGTCGGCGTCGACTCTGACGAAATCGGCCCTTGGGTCAAATCACGAACAGGGGTGAGCTCCTCGCTGGCCGAGTGGGGTCTGTCGGTATCGGCCGACAAAATGGATGCCCTTGTCACATCCGAGGCGTTGACATCACTCATCAGAGGCATCGGTGGGGCTGGAGGTGCAAGCAGGTCCGAGTCTTCGTACTGGTCGAACGCTTGTTGTTCAGAACTACGATTTCGTCTCTCGTCCCTTCGTCGTCTCCTTGACCGTTGCTTGTCTTCTGAAGGGGAACCAAACGCCTCGTGTGCAGCAACGGCGGCAGCGCCCAAAGCGGCCCCGGCGGCTGCAACTTTCAGGGGCTCAATGCTGCGAACTGGTGTGTTATCGAGGTCATGGGAGTCTTCTACTGATTCGTGGCTGAGAGCGCTGCTGTCGTCGAAGTCGTTATTTCGTGCCTCTCGGTCTCGTCTCTCCTTGCTGGTCTTGAGGCTGTCGCGGGGTGTCAGCATCTTGTCGGTGCCATTGGACCGTCGTTTGTCGCTCGCATAATCATCCCTCGACGCTGATGTAGCGCTGGATGTCGTAGAATCGCGCCGGCTTCCTCGCCGGCTCTGTTCTCGCTTGAGGGCGTTGAGTTCTGGTAGAATGAGGCGGCGAATGGCATCCTCCACTGTCTCCAAAAGTTTCGGATTATTGATGGACGATGTCTTTGAGGCGCCAGATCTGATGGAGTGCTGGTCCACGGACCGATGACTGGGGGCAAGAGCCGATGAAACCATGCTGGAGTCGGCCACTGACACCATGGACTCTGGGTGTCCTTTACTTGACCTCCTACTTGACCGATCCGCATACTTGTCATCCTTGCTGACACTGCTCGTCCGGCTCTTGCTAGACTTGTGCTTACTGCGGTCCCTCTCCTTGTCTCGAGACCTAGTAACAACCACCCTTTCGCGGCCCCCTTCTCGTGTCCGGGACTTTTCAGAGGCGGCTGTGGCGCTCGCGGCGGCACCCAAGCCGACAGCAGCAGCTGCTACATAATCCGGACTCTTGGAGTCGGATGCTCTGAATGAGGTGGTCCCGCCAGATCCATCGAGGAAGCTGTCGGTTGGTATGGCCGAAATGTCACTCATGTTGCCGCCTGTGTAACTGGCCTTGCTACCATCAGCAGCCGGTATGAGAGGGCTCGCCGGGCGGCGGCGGCGAGCGCCTCGCTCAATTTCGATGTCAATGGGGTTTCGACTAACGTTGCTCTCCTCTGTGGCTGAAGCATATGAGCTGGCGTCTTCAAGATCGTTGCTGATGGCCGACAGCGTCTCGGCAGCAGAGCGGCGACCGCCGCTCGCTTTTCTCGATGATCTTGACTCGGTGATCCGAATGTGGTCTCCGTCGGAGCCCCTGCTGCTGCGACGTTTGCTGCTTGGTGTCAAGCGGACTCGAACACTGGGTTTGCGCGAGTCGGCCGACGCCGAGTTGCCGCTGGTGCTCTTCCCACCTTCGAAGTACTCGATCAGGAGAGATGTCTGCGATTTGCTTGCGCGATGCCCCGCTCGGATAGTTACGGGTGTACCATCATCTGGGATGGAATAAGAGGACTTTTCGTCTCCGGGGGCAGATACCTCGCTGCCAAGTTCGGTCCCCAGGTCAGTCCCGGTCGGCGCTGCAGTGTGGATGGTCGATTCGGTCTCTGTGGGCACTGGCAATGGCGGCGGCCGACTAGACTTCTTCGTGTCTGCACCCATGATGGCGTGTAATGTGTGTTGTGAGCCCAAAGGGGTGTTGGTGTGGTATTAGGTGTCAACAGTGGCCCCTGTGTTGTTGCCCAATTATTACTCCCAGGTTGGGGAACCCCCTTACGTGTGGAGGAGGACGGCCAGAGAGGGTGGGGGGATTGAAACACAGGAATAATCGCGGGAAAACGGCAACGATGTGTTGGCCAGCCAGAAAGCGTCGCCTATTAACACTCGCAGTCCAGAATCATCAGAATGCGGGAATGTCTGCAGGAAATGTGGAATATGTGAGCAATGAGGGATCGCGTAGGCAGGAGGAGGCACGCACCCAAGGCACGAAATGCAGCTAGGTTCGCCGATGATAGGGCAGGAGGGAGGGCAGTAGGGCAGAAAGAGACTCCTGACAGGCTGCACGAGGCAGTATCAGGATGTGGAAGTGTCGCTGGCTGCTGGGACGTACGAGCAGAGAAGCAGAACAGGTGCACAGAATCGATGGGGCCGAGTGGCGGGCGGCCTGTCGAAGGAGAAAAAGTGAGTGGCGGCGCAACGAGACGGACGGCTGTTGTTGATAGGAGCAAGGCGGACAGGGATTCTCTCGGCAGCGGGGCAGTTTGCGTCGATAAACAGAACCTGGAAGTCAACTTCCTGTTCGTCGTTTTCGAAAATCAATTATTTTTTCTTCGTTTCGGCCGCAGTTGAATGTATGTACAGAGAAAGGGGTTGCTGCAGGCGATATGCCACCTCCTGCTGGTGTTGGCCGGAGAGGGCGGTGGGATGCGAGGCGATGGGAAGAAGATGGAAGACGGCGGCGGGATAGGCGGTGGCCTCCTCGAAGCTAGCTTGTACAAAGTAGGTCCTCCAAGCTCGAATCCAATGCCGAGTTCGAGCGGTTTTGGGGGCGGATCCAGAGGACTGGTCGCAACGTGATGCGCACGCCTGGCCTTCTTGGATTCTGGCAGGAAGCGGACCTCGGACACAGGCTGGGTGACTGGCAGAGCCTATGGGAGACTTTGTTGTTGTCCAGGAGCGGCTGGGATTGCTCGAGGTGCTTGATGTGCTGGCGCTGCTTCAAGGGCCCAGCCAATTGCGCGTGGAGTCTGGGGTCGGTGGTGCAGCGAGGTGCAGACAAGCTTGCAACGGGACGGCGGAGCAGCGAGAGACAGACGAGACGAGGCTGCTGCTGCGGAGTCGAGGGGGGAGAAATCGAGCAAAAACCGCACACCAGCCGCCAACGGTGTCGGTTCCACTGTACTTTCTTGAGCAGCAGCGTACAAGATCGTTGGTGAGATGGAGATGTCTGCGATATGGTAAACGGGAGAGAAGCTTGGAGGGGGTTTGTTGACATTGACTTTGCTGCCAAGTACATCAGCAGGCCTGACCACCAAGTGAGCAGGACCCGACTAGGTGCTAGGTGACAGGACGGGGGCTGGGGGATTTATCGGATGGGCTCCACAGTGACGGTTTACGGTAGCACGGAGGTACAGAACGGACAATCGCCCTGAGCGACCGGGGCAAGTGCCCCTAAGCCCAGAGGCCTGGCTCCTTCCACACCTAAGGCGTGGCCTCGCTTATTCTATTAGTCAGCATTAAGCCGTCTTAGCCACCGTATAATTTACTATCGTCGCTTTAAATTACCGGCTACTTATATAAACTATTAACTACTATATAAACTATTAATTATTACAGAAATTATTAATTATCTACTTACTATATTACCTACTATGTTACTTATCTATTGGGTTTGGCGTATGGGTAAAGTGTGGGAAAAGGTGTAAAAGTGTAAATTTCACTTGCGCAAATGACCATTATCCGTTCTGTACCTCCATGCCACCGTACGGTTGGGCGATCTCGTCTCACGCCCAGCTTCAACATTGTGCCAAACCTGGAACAGGAACGCCGTCACCGCCTATGTCACCCATACCACCAATAGTCTTGATAAAATATGTTTGTCCATTGCTCTCCCTGCTTCAAGTCTCTTCCGTTTGCCTGACCTCTGCCTCTCGAACTTCTTGTTGGATCGATCCAGCTGAGGCTACCCGGGCGTCCCGCCATTGCCGCCGTCCAATTACGCCAATCTCGGCGCGGGGAATAGCTTGAGGTTTCACGGGACACGAGGATAGACCCGGTAGGGCTACTTTGTGTTAATTGGACTTGATTCATCCATCACGAAAACTCGGAAGGCGACCTCAGCTGCGGTGTTTTGTCTACGAACTCGGTGGGGATATATGTGGTACTATGAAATGCTTTAGAGGTCCGGCCGCAATATTATGTACATCGTCAAAACACCAGGTTAAAGTTGGGAGTCGTTCAAGGAAAGGCCTTCGCAAGACTTTCGACTGTTCATCTTGAGCTCGACGGCCTTGTTCCATGAACCAAGTCTCTGTGTTGTCTCTTGGAGACTAGCTGGTTGTTTTGAGAGTGACATTTGATATTTTCTCATGGTTACTGACATCAATGTATCAAATGTTGCTGTTAAAAGGTCTCTGAATTGATAACCTTGGATCTTGATATCGATATCAGTATCGATAAGCTCATGGTCCGTGCATCAGCCACACGTCAACCCCAGACCACAGGAGCAAGACCCAACCAATGATGCGCCCTGCAGGAACCCTTCATCTGAATATCGCGTCGTGTGTGTTTGGAGCTTCACTGTAAATTTCCCAGGCCAGCACCAGACGACAACGGCGACCAGCAATCCGACTTCGACCACCCGAAACCCCACACGATTCCCAGAAACTTGGCTTCTGACCCCTCGGACTGGCGCTGGAGAGCTGTCTCGCCCGCCCCGTACTCCCAGACAGCAGCGACCTCAGTACAAACAAACCTCCCCTCTCCGATTTCGACGACCACCACGAGAAGCGCAATCCTACGATACTGAAATAGTCAAATAAAATACAGATCCATTTTCATGTTCTGAGAACCCCCACACACGAACCACAGCAACATGACAGACTCATTGCACAACGTGTCGGTAGTGCTCGACAATGGATCCGGAACTATCAGGGCTGGCTTCGCAGGAGACGACGTACCCAAGTGCCACTTCCCATCATGGGTAGGCAGACCAAAACATCTCCGCGTTCTGGCCGGTGCGCTGGAGGGAGAGGTGTTTATCGGCCAGAAAGCGGCCACAGAGCTGCGGGGCTTGCTCAAAATCCGATACCCTCTGGAGCATGGTATTGTCACGGACTGGGATGATATGGAGAAAATTTGGGCCTATGTGTATGACGAGGGCTTAAAGACACTGAGTGAGGAGGTAATGTTCCGGATCCTCAAGCGGAAAGGCGCAATGGCTGACAATCCCGCATGGACATATAGCACCCTGTCCTTCTTACCGAACCACCACTCAACCCAAGGTCAAACCGTGACACGGCTGCTCAAATTCTATTCGAGACGTTCAACGTGCCAGCTCTCTACACATCAATCCAGGCTGTACTGTCTTTGTACGCCAGTGGAAGGACGACAGGTGTGGTGCTTGATGCTGGCGACGGTGTGTCCCATGCTGTACCAGTATACCAAGGGTTCACGGTGCCCAACAGTATCAGGAGAATCGATGTCGCCGGCCGCGACGTGACTGAACATCTACAGACGCTGCTCCGCAAGAGCGGTTACGTCTTCCATACCAGCGCAGAAAAGGAGGTCGTCAGGCTCATCAAGGAGGCCACGAGCTACGTCGCGAGGGATCCCAAGAAGGAAGAGAAGGAGTGGGCAGCTTCCAAGCAGGACCAGAGCAAGTTTGCCGAATATGTCTTGCCAGATGGCAACAAGCTCAAGGTATGCATAACTTGTGTGTTCACGATGTTCAGGGAGTAGCAAATCTAACGCTAAAAAAGATTGGAGCGGAACGTTTCCGTGCCCCAGAGATCTTGTTCGACCCTGAGATCATCGGTCTTGAATATCCGGGCATTCACCAAATAGTAGTTGATTCGATCAACAGGACGGATCTCGACCTGCGCAAGGACCTGTACATGAACATCGTCCTGTCGGGAGGTAGTACACTCACAAAGGGATTCGGTGACAGACTTCTCAGCGAAGTACAGCGGCTTGCTGTCAAGGATATGAGAATCAAGATTTTTGCGCCCCCGGAGCGGAAGTACTCTACCTGGATTGGTGGCAGTATTCTGGCTGGTCTGAGCACATTCAGAAAGGTACGTTGACTCCCTGATAGACAGGAAATAGGGGATGGCAAAGACTAACACTCCAATCTAGATGTGGGTCAGCATTGACGACTGGCATGAGAACCCGGATATTATCCATACCAAGTTCGCCTAGGTGTAGTCAGTGCGACCGTAGATCGAGCAAGATTCATTTGATGTCGTCGACTGACAGCGCGGGCGACACTTTGCGGGTGAAGAAACAACACTTATCCGCATTCCCTATTCGTGTCGAGATTCGATGATGTTATGAGTATGAAGTCTTGGAGGGGATCCCCGGCCCAGTACAGCGAAGGGAAGAGATACAGCACAACAAGTAAAGAAGGTGTACAAATTTATCCAGGGACTCCAGCAAAGCTTTGTACACAAGACGATTAGAACTATTGTAATATCTGGGGATACATACTTCGTTGGAAGAGGAGTCAGGAGGGGGAGTGGTTGGTGGCTGGTACTACAGCTTTTGTTGGTTGATAGGTTTTAGTGAACGTACATGTATCTTTAAAGGAGAGGAGAGAGGGGAGAAGGAGTGCGGTAGTAGGGTGTAGAAGGGTGGATGAAGGGAGTGATGGAAAAGAAAATGAATGATACCCTTTTTGCTAACCATCTCGAACATGCAATTCTTCTCTTGTCGTGATTTAAAGACTTGTACATGCTGCTTCTGTCTTGGCTTTTGGCCTCGATGCTTTTATACAGGTCGATCACCGCTAGGTTGATACCTGTCTAAAGATGCCTAGCTGCTATGAACTTGACCACGTCTCCCTCTGAGGCGTTTGCGATGACAAGACCGACGGGGCAATACCATCAGGATCCAACGTCATCAGTCCGGAGTGGAACTTCTGAGCTTTTTTCCAACCCGTGCTGCCTACTTACTTGTTTCTAATTCTTGTCCTCTATGCTTTGGAGCGGTCGTAGAAGAAAGCAAAGAATATCATCGCGACACTTTCTTCCACCGCCTCAAGTGGCATCTGGTAAGCAAAGATATTTCGATTTGATTCATATGTAGAGGTACGAAATCCCCATAACTACCCTATTATAACCGTCGGGTTGATAAGGTCTCACCTGGGTCGTCATACCACCCTTTTTTTGGGTCTATTATATACTTGGCAATCATGCTTCTGGCCGCGCAGCCTTTTGTATGAAATTGATCTTGTTTGTTTTCTTGTTTTTGAGGAGACAAGTCAGTATTTGGGAGATTGTTTTTGTCTCGGGGGTGTGTCGTGTGAGGAAGTGGCAACGACAAGAGCGTGGTTGTGTGGTGGAGCTTGAGGAAAGACTGGGAGTGTTTTCTTGTCAACTTTTGGCAACAGCCCTCTCTTCTTGGAATAATGGCAGATTCCAAAGTAGAAGACTTTGTAGAAGTCTATAGATTCTCGGCCTGGCACTCTCCTGGCATCTGTATAAGTTTGTGTACGGCAGACTTGTGTTTTGAGTATCTCTTTGACGACAAGTCCTTGCTGGAAGGATTCGTCATATTAAGGCTATGTACAAGGATAGAAAGCTTCTAGAATGGCTCAACATGTATTTACGAGAGAACGTTTCGGATTGGGCCATCTCCAGTTAATTTCGACAAGGCATGGCTACTTGGTTTGGACTACATACATTTGATGTTCCAAGGCTACGGTCTGTGTACTTACTCATTCGTATGCAGCACGAAAAACCACGTTGCCTTGGGAAATTCAGCGGTGGTGGTTACCCATGAGCTGCCCCTGATTTTAAAACCGATAAGGAACAGAAACCGCACGGTATGTTATCCCCTTTGTTACCCAACGTTCACTCCAGCTCTTCGAGTTCCAGATTCTCAGAACGAACTCGGTTGACACCGTACCTAGGTCCCAAATTCCGCTCTCTCCGTTGAAGGCAAGCTTGAAAGTCCCTGCCAGGTACCTCAACCAAATTGCCCAAAGGGGATTCCGACAGTCCAGGTCAGGGTGAGCGGGAAGCAGCAAGCACGGAAGCGGGGGAAAAGATCTCCTTCTTTGTCCGATTTGGTGGCGTGGTAAGAATCTTGCTGTACACGTGGGACTATTACACACAAAGAAACTCGGCAACAGAGATCGCACGCGATTTTTAGAGTTTGTTTCGTAAAGGTCAAATTTGGAGAGGCAGGAGCGTTGAGGTGGGCAGGCAACCATGCAGGCAGAGAGTGATCGCTCAACAGTGTCAAGAGAAGAGAATTGGGCGGACATATCACATCACTCATTCTAACATCATTGCAAAACATGGCAGTAAAAGATTGCTCAGTTACATTCCCATTTTACCGGGAGTGAACCAAATAAATAACAATAATCCTTCGCACACTATCCATCCTCCAAAATCGCACCAGGGGGGTATATTGATTCGCACTCCATCCCAAAAACAAAACAGCCGTCAAATCAAAAAACCACTATTCAACAGAAAGAAAACCGCTTCTTATTCTCCATTGTTCATAACTCTTTCCCCGTCCAATTCTCCTCCGCTCCTTTTCTTCAACCGAAACCCAAATTTCCCGACCGTTGGTACCGGTAGTTGAACTGCCGGTGAGATGGTGTGAGGTGAGGTGTTTGTTTTGTTGGCGCCTCAGCTCGTGTGGAGTTTTGACTTTTTGAGTTGGAGACCGCTGGAGCCCCTTTTCCCAAGCCTTGCTCCACACATCCCAGCACACCAACAAACCATCCGGTCTCTCGCCAAACCCACCAACAAAGGGGTACCGGTTCGTCTGATGACAGAATTCATCTTGTCGAGGTGACAAAAGATTGCTGAGCTGAGAAATTTTCGGTAGTCGTTGCTTCGTTGTTGTTGGTATCCTTCTGAGGCCCCTGCCCTCCGTGACAAAAAAAAAATGAAAAATGAATAACTTTTTGATATCCCCTTCCCGATTCATAAAACCCTCCGGAACGCCGTGCTGTGTTGTTTGCAAAAGTTGGTGTGGTATGAATATAGACAAATGAAACAGAAGCGCAGAGCAGATGAGTCGTCGAGTGTGTCGTCTCAACGACTCACGACAGAGTCAGAGTCGACTTAGTGGCCGAGGCTGCTGATGCGGCCCCAGAAGCCAGACTTAGTGCTGCCGTTGGTGCTGTTGGAGTCTCTCCGGCTGAGCTCGGTCGAGTTCTTCTTGGTGGAGGAGGAGCTGGAGCTGAAGATGTTGCCGGCGCCACCGCGGCCTACGTGGCTGATGGTGGCAGCCTTCTCGCGGACCTCGGCGCGGGTGAACTCCTCGTCGAAGGAGAGGACAGGGCGCTCGGCTTTGGCGTGAGCGTTGCCGGCACCGCCCCGGCCGGAGTAGAAACGGCCGGTGCTGGAGGGGGTGGTAGCAGCGGGGGTAGGGACACCGGAGGGAGCGGTGGTCTGAGGAGCACGGAAGAAGTTGCCAGCACCGCCACGGCCAGAGTGGGTGTAGCTGTTCTTAGCAACGGTGGGGTGAGGCTCGGTGATGGTGTAGAGAGAAGGCATTTTGGCGGTTGAGTGTCTTGTTTGTTAAGGACAAGAGGTTGTTGTGTTGTGTTGTTGTGAGGGTGGTACTCGGGTGTCAGAGACAGAGCAGAGAGAGCTTGAAGCTTTGGGCAGTGAATTTGCTTTTTGATGGTGTAGTCTGGTCGAGATATCCTTGTGTAAAAAAAGGAGCAGACAAAGGAGAGCTATTATACCCAAGGCAAGGAAAGTGCCTTGTGTGTAAGTGAAATTGCCAAGCATGGGCCAAGGGGCAGACAGATGGAGACGGGAAACGGGAAACGAAACTTTTCCCCAACAAGCCCCCCCCTCCTGGATTCCAGCCAAACAAAGATCCAGCGCCGTAGCACGAGCTCTGGGCGGAAAGCCGCATGATCATGGCACCCTGGCGCTAAGCCGCCTGGAAGGACAGCGAAAAAAGAGTACAAGCCTGGTACTTTGCCCTGTAGCCCTCTTTGTTCCAACGCCCGATGGCGCCCTGGGAAAATTTTGCAGGGCAAAGACGCAAGAGCTTCACCAAGATGGCCTCTTTTGGCATGGCAGTGTCATCATGGGCATTCGCAAGATCTCGCCATTCGGACTGTTGATAAGCTTATCTAGGCATGATACACTACATAGACATAGAGTCAGAAATGCGATAGATTACCCTATTCTGGTTCTTTTGGTACATGTTCTCAGTCATCCATCATCAAACACCTATGCGGAGAGTGACTCGGCCTTTTCATGGAGAATGCACAAAAATGATGAGCCCAGAGGCCTGGAATTGGCCATGTTAGCGATTGCGTCAGGTGCTGCAGTGGACCTGGCCAGGACAGGCTTACAGGCTGTGCCCAGCACGACTGGGCTGAAAATTTGCTGCCGAGAGTCCACCCAAGCTTTCTGTTAGCTTATGAAAACTCACCTGGCCGTCACGAGGCACGCTAATGGTGCTATCTGTTACGAAATCATTACTCCATCGCAAGCTCCCCTGTCATGTACCTTTTGGCCGGACGCCCCGGCAAACGGTACTTGGTTGGACTGGGCAGCCCTGCAAGGGACAGTGACGACTTTGTTGTCGAACAACTGTGCGACCACCTGTTTTTCCCATCTCCGCTGCGACGAGGGAAGGAACTTGCAGTGACATGAGACGACAAATGGCCAGTATGACCAATATTCAAGGGCTTGCACCATCTCACGTCACCTTCTCATGAAAACGAACAATTCGTCATGAGGGCGACTCCGGCCCGGCCAGGGAGCGGTCAACATGGCGGCCACGATTCTCAAAAAAGACAGGTCGATGATGCTTCGTCAAGACAGAAAGAACAGAATTTTAAGGTCTCGTGGTTCACCCCGGACCTGGATGAAGCTTGGCTGCCAGAACAGGGGACCAAATTGGCACATCCACGCTGGTGGGTTTGTGGAGCCGTTGTTTAAAGGCTACCAAATGAGGCATCAGAAAAACAATTCGGCAAGTTGGCCGTGGCCAGGTTCCCCAGCAGAATCGGTCGGCCCCGGATTTTCAAGGATCTGAGAGCTCTCCCGTTCGCTGGTTCCCGCGATCCCCGTCAAGACAGGCATCCCCGCATTGTCGACTCTGCGCTGGCTGTATGTCGTCTCGTTCCCCGCAGGGCATTGAATTCCCAAAGAACAATCTGACGAAGCTTCGACTACTCACCTACCCACGAGCTCACATCAGAAGGACAAAGATGCCCTCCTGATCACACCCGCAGCAACGCCTTCACATACTCACTTCTCGACTCTCATTCGGCTGCCGCCCGGTATACCTTTTCCTCCTCCAAGAAGTCAATCAAGCGGCAAGGGCGATGGCGAACTTGTGGCTTGGGCGCTGGGCGGTTAACGCCGGCCGGGCACGCAAGATGACTTCTTTCGTTCAGCTCTCACAGCTGTCTCGCCCCTGGCCAAGCGCCCGCCCCTGTACTGTGTGGCTGTCATCTGACGTAGAGACATTTCAACATTGTTTCCAGAAGCTCGCCGGGCATTCTCATTGGCCGTGACTGTTGTAGCATTCCGTCATGTTACTCTGCGCATTGTAGGCTCCCAGGTACCGTGTGACGCTGGGTGAATCTTGATGCAGGAGAATTGGTGACTGGAGGTATGGTAAGTTGTGTGAGAGTTGGCGGAACAAGATATGTAGACCATCTGGGCATTCGGGACACCCAAGTAGGGAAGCCGAAGTCATAAAGTTATCCAGGGTTGAAGTGAAGATGGACAGTCCGGGCCGAAGTTTCATGACTTCTTTACCGGGCCGACCCTCAAAGTCTCACTGCGGCAATGTTTCGACACAGCATGCGGCTCTTGCTCTAAGTGGGAACTGAGTATAATAACACAACATATTATCCTCGTATAGAAAAAACACTTTCATACATCTCGTGCTCGATTCTGAGCACTTTCAATTGTTGAGCTTTTCCTGTGATTTCTGTGGTACGAGGCGGCCACCAGCCAACTCGAAAAAAAGGCCTACTTCAGCCCGGTTCAGTCATCAAACACTTTCATACACCCATCTCCATTCCTCTCAAGCCAGTCAACCAACTCTTTTTGGGCATCGCCTTTTGCTATGAAGAGCGGTTGTCGTTCCCTTTGCAAAATCGATCCCACCCCTTTGGCTCCTGTCTCAACATGGATTGAAAGGTAGTTTGCGGCAGGACCAAACTCGCATGGTTGGAACAATCTCTAGGGAAGAGTGGACAAAATGATGGCAGAAATAGAGGGAAAGCGGATGTCTTTGGGCACATCAAAAGTGGGTGGCTGTGGTGCCTATCGACGAGAACCTCCGCTGTGGCGTTTAAGACACCACCCACGACAGACTCTGTAACCTAGTGTACAAGAGTTAAAATAAACCTGAGAGAAAGGAAAATTCGGGATTGTCTTTCCAGACCCTGTCTTATTATCTTCCAGGCAGATCAAGGAACAACTTGACATACTCATATCGAACCCTCATCGAAACCAGCTCCAGGCTTCTGATACAATCATTTTGGAAAATCGTCAACCGTTTGCTGTGAAATATTCTCTTGGTCGTTTGCTGGCTGACCCCCTAGCAGTTTGCAAGCGAGATCTTTCGTGTGCGCACCACGCCGTTGTTCGCCGGTAAGCCCCTAGGCAGTGTTTGCACACGCTTCAGCA